ATTATAAAAAGCAGAATCTTAGTAAGCTTGTGGCCCAGCTGGTGAAAGCATGTATGTACACACGCCAGCAAGTAGCCCACTGGCCTGCAGCCTTCAGCCTACTGTGAGCTTTGTCAGTTCTTTTATAAATACGTGGATACAGGTAGGTTAAGTGACAATCAGATGAGAAAAGAATGAATTTGAGAATTCGTACTAAAATTTTTTCTAAGCAACAGAGTATTTAACGCTAATATTTTATCTGTTTGAAAATAATTTAACTACTAAGTGCTCTGCCTGTATATTTGAAAATAGTCATAACTTTTAGTCTGTTTCCAAGAAGAAATTTCTGTACTGAAATATGCTTTCCTAAAACTTCTTTTGATTCTTAGTTCTTTAATACAGAACTTCCAGTACACAGAACTATTTTGGTTTGCCACTTATCAGCTGTGTCTTTAGGCAAGTTCTCCAACATCTTTGTGCCTTATTTCTTCATCTGTGAAGCAACAATAATAGCAGCTACCACATAGAATTGTTGTGAGAATTGCATTTTAGTTAGATGCTGCCCCCCGCATTTAAATTGCCTGAGTTCCATGTACAAATGACTTTTTATCAGTTCCATGTGTAACACAGCTTCTAGAGAGTGCTTGCCACATTAGCAGGCATTTAATAAATACTTTTTGTCAGAAGAACAGGCATTTCTACGAAGAACCACTGAGTTTAGCAAAAGACAGGTTTAGGGGTTTTTTGCCTTACCTTTCTTGACTTACCTTGTCTCATTTCTCTTTTAGGAAAACTGTTCGTAGGTGGTGGCTTTGATGGTTCTCATGCCATCAGTTGTGTGGAGATGTATGATCCCACTAGAAACGAATGGAAGATGATGGGAAACATGACTTCACCAAGGAGCAATGCTGGGATCGCAACTGTGGGGAAGACCATCTACGCAGTGGGAGGATTTGACGGCAATGAATTTCTGAATACAGTGGAAGTCTATAACTCTGAGTCAAATGAGTGGAGCCCCTATACAAAGATTTTCCAGTTTTAACAAATTTAAGACCCTTTCAAACTACCAGGCTTAGTGATGTAATTGTGTTTAGCTTAGAGGTACACTTGTGAATAAGGAGGGTGGGTGGGCATAGATGTTGCTAACAGCAACACAAAGCTTTTGCATATTGCATATTATTAAACATGCTGTACATACTTTTTGTGTTTATTGGGAAAGGAATGCAAAGATGAAGTTCTGTTTTGTGTACTTTTAGGATTACTTTGGTTATTTTACTTTTTGGAAGTTGACATTGTGAAAGAATAAACCAAGACTTGATTGGGCACGCCATTTCAAGAAACCCCCTCTCCTCCACATTTGTTTTGCCAGTTTGCACATTAAATAACTCTTCCCTCAAACGTGTATCATGGGGCAAGAGGGGTAGGATTTTAAGATATAGGCAGTTGGGTTTTTTAAGGGCCCTTTTTCAATAACTGGAACACTCTATAACAAGAGACTTATTTAACTAGATGACAATGACTATTTTTGTTTTTATTAAAGCTGACATGCCTACCAAGATTTAATCTTTTATGATTGCCTTTTTATAACTTTTTATATTCTCAGCAGAGAGCTTTACCTGTTGAAGTAAGATGTGATAGATTCAAATTACTGAAGCAGAGTGGCAGTCTTAAAGTATGCAGAGTGAGGTGTTTCTTTTATATGCCTAGAATGCAGACTTCTAAGCTTTTGCCTCAGCTACAAATTTTTTTTTTGAGAATGCAGTACCGATGTTTCTTTGAATGGAGTTGCTGAACAGTAACATAGCTGTGATTTTTATTTGAAACACTGATTTTAAATATTTTGACTTCTGGAGGGTATATTTTATATAGCAAGACACTTAATATATAACACAACAGTGAAGTATTTTATCTTCTAAATAATGCCTGTTTTTATTTATCATTAACAAAACAATCCTAAGTGGCAGCCCTCGATTGTGAAAAAATTAAACTGTACTGGGTTGATGAATGTAGCCTTTATCAGACTATGTTTTGTTCAGTTTTTCTGTTCATGTGGATAAGTATTGGCTGGGGTGACTTGGTATCTAATGTGTAGTGCTACGCATACAATTGATGGTGCCAAATTAGCACATCCTAATGCTTGCTGCTGATGCAAACATATTAAAGGTACTTTGCAGGAAATCCTTACACCATGGGATTAATATCCAAATGTTGTTTGTGTACTCATTCATTACTAAAAGTTTTGGGGGGAAAATTCTTTTTCAGTAATGATAAGCTTAAGGTGTTTGGGGAGAATATTCACCTGGCATCTTACATCTGAAATAATGACTGATGTAAGGTTTTTTTCTCTCAAAGCAGCAGCAGCAGCACACAGGAGTCTGATGAGCCAGCTGGGACAAGATGACTATCCATTGGCTAACTTGGGTTAGGAAGAAAATTAGGTATTTTCTCCAAATGTTCCACTGGTACTTTGACACTTTATTTCTCTCATCTGTTCCACAAAGAACCATCAGAAAAGGAAATCATTTCAGCTGGTGGCCGTGTTATTCCTGACCTTATCTATCACCGGTTTGGTTCTGGACTAAAACTAGGCTGGCAGTTTTGAATTTGCCTAATATGATGACTTTTTTAAATGATCTGTGTATGTTCTCTTCAGCACAAGGAAATAAAATTTAATTGGGGATACAGCAGTAACATCCTTGAACTCACTTCTCAGTTCCTAAATAACATGCTTAATGCAAATAATATGTGGGGATACTTTGGGTCAAAGTTTCCCTGTATTACCCATTGATGCCAAACAGTTTGTTTGATGGCTAAAAGTATGTTATAAGTATGTTTTGAATATAAGAAGCTTCCACAAAGGAAGCAGTTCTCAGTGATCTTTATCAGTATGAGTTTTGGAGTAGTTTTGAAAACAGTATTGGTTAGTAACCACTCCTGCAATCGATTGTCATAATGCATAAAACATTAGATTCCTCAAACAGTAGCAAAACACTATATACCCACTTGAATTACTTATACTCAAGATGAATTTTCTTTTATTCTGACTTTCAAGGTAGAGTTTTGAGTTTTGGCTTCTGTTATGTCATATACTTTACCATTAGTCAACATGTTTTAGAATTCCTTACATAATCATACTTTAGGGGAAAAAAACCTGGATTTGGGATTGTGATACAGTGGTAAAATCCTTGCTTAATACCCTAGGTGTGCACCCTATAATCTCTCTGGACTTCAGAATTCTTTCTGTGGGGGTGGAAGGGGTGAAGTAGATTGGCCCTGAGCTAACATATATGCCAATCTTCCTCTTTTTTTGGTTTTGTTTTTGAGGAAGATTAGCTCTGAGCTAACTGCTGACAACCCTCTTTCTGCTGAGCAAGACTGGCCCTGAGCTAACATCCATGCCCATCTTTCTCTGCTTTATATGTGGGACACCTACCACAGCATGGTGTGCCAAGCAGTGCCATGTCCGCACCCGGGATCCGAACCAGTGAACTCCAGGCAGCTGAAGCAGAATGTGCGCACTTAACTGCTGCACCACTGGGCCAGCCCCTCCTCTCTCTTTTGTATGTGGGATGCCGCCACCACTTGATGAGCAGTGTGTAGCTCCACACTTGGGATCCAAACCCACAAACTCTGGGCCACTGAAGTGTGCGAACTTAACCACTACACCACTGGGCCCAGCCCTAGGACCTCAGAATTCTTAACTTCAAAATTGAAGTAGACAAAGGAGAAAGAGTCTCCCTATAGGATATTTCTGCAAATCCAGAGTTGCCTTAAAAGAGAATGAATCACAGAAAACTCAGTCTCCATAGCATTAGTTATTTGTATCCTACTTTGTTCCAAAAAAGCATTTGAAGAGTCTTTTCATTGAGACGTAAGATACAAAGCAAAACAAGGCAACACCAATATATAAATCTTGACTACTTAGTAAGGCCAAGCCACAAATTTGATCCTGTAAATAGACCTGTTAAGTAAGTTAAATCCTCTGTGTGTTAAAAAGGAATTACTTTGAAGCACCGGTTTCCTTCATAATAAAACCAGAAGTTTCTCAAGAGCCTTAAAATGATAAATTGAGTAGAGTTTATAAAAAGAGGGACATACTTGTGTGCACTGTCATGGGTTCTTCAGCCTACTAGCACAATGGCCAACAAAATATTTAACTCTCACTATTAGGAGCTTCATCCTGTATTGGGGGTTGAAAAAGGGTGAGATGCAAAAGCTCATTAAGCTGAGTATATATAGGGTTGATATCTTGTGGAAACATGAGACTCGTGTCTGAATAGATGGCTACACATTTGCTCAGAATGAGCCAAGGGAACAATACAATTTTAGCCTGAAAAAAAGCACACGATACCAAACTTGAATGAATGAAAGAAATGAATGAGAAAATGAAACTTACAAGATGAACCGAACTGTCCAGCGAGTTAAGAATAACAGTTGCTATATTAAAAGTTGGAATACATCTACCAAATATAACTAGTTGTCTAATCAGTTAACAGGGCTAGCTATCCATTAAGGCTACTCCCAAATCATGATGATAAGCTCTACCCTCTGCATTAAGCAAGTGTTTTGTCTCTATCTTAACCAAAAGTGCTAACAAGTCTTTAAAGGTACAGGCTTGAAAGAAAACAATTTGTGTCCAGAACTCTCAAAACTCAATAAAACAATGCAATTTAAAAATAAGCAAAAGATTTGAACAAGACACTTCAGAAAATATAAATGGATTCTAATAATATGGAAATATACTCACTATATAAATCATTAGGAAAATATAAAAAGCAAAATGACATACATTTATTAAAACAGTAATACCTAATTCTGGTTAGGATGCAGAGCAAGTGGATCTGATACACTGGATGTGTATCAACGTTATGCATACCCAAATTGCTGGAGGAATCACAAAACTGGAAGGTCACTTTGGAAAAACAATTTGGCAGTTTCTTATAAAGTTAAATACCCTGTGACACAGAAAGCCCACTCCTAGGTATTTATCCAAGTGAAATGAAAACATGTTCACACACCTGTATGTAAATATAGCAGCTTTATTCATAATCACCAAAAACAAATCGACTCAAATATCCTTCCAACTGGTGAATGGATAGATTGGTACATTCATATAATGGAATACTACTAAGGAATAAAAACAATGAAGTACTGATAAAACAACATGGATGGATCTCATCGAGGGCTAAGTGAGAAGCCAGCCTCAAACGCCTCCATTTATATATCATTCTGGAAAAGAACTACAGGGATAGCAGACACACCAACGGCTTCCTGAGGCGAGGATGGGTGTTGACTACAAAGGGGCACAAAGGAATTTTGAGGCGCGATGGAACTCATCTTGATTGTGTTGGTGATTATGTGGTTGTGTTTGACAAAACTCAGAACTGTACACTTAAAAAGGAGAAAGGTTGTCTCTTCTAGCTTAACCGAAAGGAGACCAAACTTTTAAAAGGAAAAGGCTTTAGAAAGGAAAGGGGCTGGGACACGTACCTCACTAGAAATTACATCAGGGAACCGTTCATTACCACTGGCTGTGCATGGGTTATGTACTGAGCTAAGGTAGTTTAGCCCATAACCATTAGTCTATACGACAGAGTTGCAGAGGCTGAGAAAAGATTAGAACTCAAAGAATAGGATGTTGAAATTGGTTTGTAGTTAGGAACACTGAGCCACGCTAGTTGCTGAGATTTGGGTGTCTACCGCCTCACCTTCCATTACCATAACTGGTAATTCTGCTCAAGCTCATGGAGCTGAGTTATTTTCACAGGAGTGGGTTTTATTGGCAAAATAGCTAAAAAGCCACCAACTGGAATGGGGCTTGCCTGCCAGTCCAATCTAAATCAGAAAAGGGCTGTGGGTGGCATCACTTCCTGAGTGGAAGATGTATTTGATTATTCAATAGTGAGATATATTCCCTCTAAGAAGACATCCTGACTCGCTAGGGAGCTGAAGAGGGCTCTAATGGATGGATGGGCTGGGGAGGGGGAGTTGTTGAAAGTCAGCAGTATGAACAATATGACCTAGGCTCTGAAGGTAGACCATGACACCATCTAAATAAACCTGGACCAACGCTGAAAGAGTGAAAGGACTTCTGTTCTCCCTTAAGATCATGGGCAAAAGATCAAGGGAACAGCTTCAGGTCTTACTTGTGTCCCCGCCTCATGTGACAAAGACCACGATAGGATAGTGAAGTTAACCCATCTGTGAAGTTGTAATCATGCAGTTCCAATTGCCTGCTGCAAGTCCTAACAGGAGACCCCGTGGGGCACCACAGACCCCTGTTCTTTAGCCAGCTTTTCTTTGGCCCAGAATGCTGGAAGAGGGGGGCTGCTCCAAACGAGAGGACCCTCTCTGATCTCTCAGGAGGGAAATGGACTATCTTTTGTAAAAGTAAGTAGGAAAAGGCTAGTGTAAATTGGTGCCGGAACTTTGCTGGAATAATCCTCATGGACGCCTCTCATGAAGTTATCACCAGCTCCTCACTAAGGCAAGGCCAAGGGCATTATGTAGAGAACCCCTGGTGTCACTTTCCCCATCAGGCACTTCTGGTTCATGGCATACTTATGGTGGTTTCTGCCCAAAATATAATAGCTATACATTGACGAATGGAGACTTTAAAACTTGTTTCTCATTTAAGGATCTGATATTTTTCCATCAAAACATCTGCAAGGTGGGGCTTAGGATCCTTATGTCAGCTGAGTGACTCCAATCCAGAGGGGGGACCCAGAAAAGAAGGAGTAGAGGGTGAGGGGAAAGGGACCCCTCAACTCCTGCATTGGACCGTTAGAAAAAAAGTATAAAATTAATAAAGCTTAAGATCAGAAAAGACGACAATAAAGAAGGGAGAGAAACCCCTGACATTTCAAAGGAAGAAAATTTTAGAAGAATGTTTCTAAATTAAAAAATAAGACTAGAAAGAAGAAAAACATCTCCATATATCAATATAAAATGAAAAAATTTAAGAAAGGTTGAAATAATTGACAAATTAATGCACAAAGTAAAAGCCATATAGACTAAGATAAAATTAAAATCCACGTGCCTAAGAGTGAAATATGTAGAGATATGCACGCGATAGGAGTGACAAGAAATTTCCTAAAAAGCATAACCTGTATTAAAAAGGGTGGTAACAAAGCAGAGCCCAAACCCAGTAATTACAACTAGAAGCAGGTGAGGGATAAGGAGCTGAAAAAAAGTTCTTTTGGTGGGGGAGGGGATGCTTTTTTGGCTCCTCAAGGAAGAAAGGCAAAGAGGCAGACACGCCCCGGCGGCATCTTCTTCCACCCAGGCTCATACCTCTGATGGCACTTTGAGCCCCAGGTGGAGGCGGCTTCCTCTGCAAACAGCTCAGTGGGTCCTCCCCACACCGCAGTGAGCATCGGAGCAGCTTCTCTCATTGGAGAGGGCCACTTATATAATCATACCTGTACACAGTTCAGAAACACAATTTGGAAGTAAAGTGAAAAGCAAAATCTTACTAAAAATAATTTATTGCTTTTTTAAAAAAAATAAGCATTTATAATAGAATACCAAATTAGATTTAATCTAATGTATTAACAAAAGCATAATATACTCTAGTAAACAAGGATTTCTAAATTACTGTGTAACTAAATAAGGAATAAGTCAAACTCTTGGTTTAGCTAGGGGCAACAGCAGTCACTGCCACCTATCCCATAAATCCACGTTGCTTCACATTTAAGAGAAACTCAGCCTTAGGGTCTCCTTGCTCCTCTCTTGAGAAATGCACTGAAAAGTGACGAGCCCAGGGAGGAGGACAAGAGGTTATATAGCAAGTTGGAGCTGAAGACAAAATGCTACAATCATTACCTCGGGGAAGTGGAAGGCATGTGTGTGATGTTTACCAGGTCTGCATGGAAGACTGTGATCATAAAACAGCCCAGGGTAAGATTTCGTTTGTAGAATGTGATTAAGCATGGTTACATCCTAATTCTTTCTTGGGGTTTGGAAGTGTCTCTGGTCCTGTACACATATTTAGGGTTGACAGAGATGCTACTGGTGTGCCCTGGGCTTTCCTCAAATGCCACAATGGCTCCTGCCCTACGATTACCAACAAGAAGCTCTCCTATCCTTAGACATACTGGCTCAGTATCAGCAGCAGAGGTAGGGAGGTATTGTCAACTTCAGATGAGTTGGGTCCACAGTTTATCCCATAGTGGATGCATTAGGCTTTTTGGAATTTCACTGAGATTGTCAGTGTAGGCAGTCACCTTTTTGGACCTGTGAGACATTTCTTACAAGTCTCTTGGGTTTGGCTCAAAAGGTTGAAAGCTGCTCTGTTGTTCTTTTAAGTTACAAATCAGCACTTTAAGTCCTATAGTTGAGCATGTCTTCACACCATCCCCTGTTTTTGGCCTCCATATAGACAGATGCATTGCACTGCTGCATGGTACGTTCCATCTCAACCAGCTGGCGGCATCCGATGGTTAACTTTTCCCTAGAGCATAAAGAAATATTACATCACTGGAGGACAGCCCATCAGATAAATGACAAAATCTTAATACAACAGGATTAACACTGGGATTTGAAATATATTCTTTGATATTTGAGAGAGAAAATATCAAGAGTTTGGGTTTCTTAGCAAAGACAAAACAACATGGCAGGATAAGCACTTAGTAGCACAGATTCTCAGACAGCCAACATGGAGAAGATCTTGGTACAATTCCTAGAATTCAGGAATGAGGGTTCCCGTGGAGACCTGCTGCCAAAAAGCAAAGTTGGATGCTTAAAAATAGTCCTTTATATGGTCTCTGAACACTTCTCCCAGCAGGAGATAGGCTGATGTTAAGTTGTTCTAATCCAAGGGGTAAGCAACACCGTGGAGCAGGTCGCACATTTTTGTCTTACTGGGCTTGGGAGTTAAAGAACAGGTGGACTGAAGGATACTAAGAGGATGAACCTCCTGACATGCACAGACGCTGAGAGGGAATAGGACAGAGCTTCAACTCTTTAAAGGAATTCCTGAGATAAGGTACCTAGCAGTTAACAAATGAATATTAGCTAATCACTCTAACGCAGAGGTGGGGAAGTAGGGAGTAATGCCTAATACACGCCAAGCCTACTCAACAATTTTACCTAAGACGAAGCCTCACTGGGCTCTCAAAAGCTGACATGAGGCCTACAAACTGGGATCTGTAAGTCATCAGTCAGAGCACTAATCCACTATACCTGGTGTCTAGAGTCCAAATCTCATGGAAGCCTATTTAAATCTACTGGGAGATGGTCTACAAGTTCGCAAAGAATACTCAGCATTTAGTTCTGTATCTGGCACACTAGATGTTCGAGAAAGGACAGTTCTTTTTATTATGTAAGTTACTGTTACTACTACTTCAGCTTCTAAGATTGCTCCAAGCCATCTCCATGGTGTTGGGAGGACCACCAGCTATCTCTCGCCACTGCCTACCTGCCCATGGATCCCTTGATGTAGGGTACAAAGGAAAAAGAAGTCAACCGAAACTTAGGGAATAGCATGAGAGGTAGCAGTGACAGCAAAAGTAAATACACCATATTTTGAGCAGCCTCACTTCCTGAAGATGTGTGGTTTCTCTGAGGCTGATTAAAATCTGACTTTTGGCTTTGTGTTCACTCTAGTCCTGTCTCCTATATTTAGAGTGTGTTAAATTAGTGTTATGTTGCTGCCATTTCTTCACAACTACTCAGAAAATGATTTTTGGAAGACCCTAAGAGACCCAACACAGGAGAGATGTAAATGTTTTCCTATAAACTTAAAAATGAAACAAACAAAAACGGCAGGCCCTATTCCTGTTATTTATTCCACATGAGAAAAAAACTCCTTTGGTAACTAGACTTTGAATCTATTTCTGTGTCTTTTCTTTTCCTTCTTCCTTTCCTTATTTCTCCTCTCACAGTTAAGGGGTGAGCTCTCTCTCTCCTTTGCATCCTAGTGGCATTTGGTTTCACACAAATAAGTGTGAATCAGCATCCTGACAATGGATTATCACCTAGAGATTTTGTTTCCTCCAGCAAGTTGTCATTGCTGACTGAGGAAAGCATGGGGTGTTTTTCATCATGTGTGTTTGGTCTACACTGGATTATGATGACAGGAATTCCTGAGTTCCTCTTCTCCACAGCTTGTATGTAGAACGGCAGAGTATTAGCTGTGGGGGCACCTTCACACCTTCGCCTGCCGTTCCGCAGCATCTCCAGTGGGTCGTCTCACCTTGGCTTTCACCTCTTGGTGATGGGACAGTTACAACTGTAAGACACAGCCCATTACAGATTTTGATATCACTTAACTGTTAGAAAGTTCTTCCTTTATATTGGGCCTAAAAAAACCCCATCTATCTGACCTGAGTCTGCCTAAATTAAAACAAAAAGTTGTTCTCCCTTTTTCTCCCAGTACAAATATTTCATGTCTCTTACAATGATCTTATTTCTCTTTTCCAAGTAAACAATCTCAACTCCAAATCCTTTCTGGAACAAAGGGCAAGACTGGAGGTTGTTTCTAGCTCTGTAATTTTATATTGCTCATGAAATTTCTGCAAAACTGCCACTGTTTCTCTAAATTGTCCTATTATGGGTATTAAATTTGCTTTGACCAAATCTCAGATAGGTCAAAACAACAGGAAATTTGATCAGATCAATTAAAAAGTAATTCCACTGGTTATTTGATTCATTTCCATGGCTAATTTTGTCAAAATGGCATGGTAGTAGTGAATTTAAGTGACCTGATTCCAGTATTTCATGAAGTTTTTCCAAAATCCTTTCCAGGTACAAGAAAAAAGACTAAAATGGATATTTGTTTTACAACTCTCTGAACTTTTCTATATATTTGCAATGTGTATCCAAGATGAAAGAAAAATGGAATACAATGTAATGCTAATATAAAAACAGTATATAATAGCTAATATCATAATCAATGGTGAAAGACTGAAAGCTTTTCTCCTAAAATCAGGAACAAGACAAGGATGCCCATGTTTACCACTGCTATCCAATATTGCCCTGCAAGTTCTAGCCAGAGCAATTAGGCATGAAAAAGAAGTAATAGGCAAATGAATTGTAAACAAAGAAGTAAAATTATCTCCATAGATCCTAAAGCCCACAAAATAACTGTCAGAGCTAATCCACTAATTCAGCCAAGCTGCAACATAAAAGATCAACAGAAAAAAATCAGTTACATCTGTATACACTACCAATGAACAATTCAAAAAGAAAATGAAAACAATTCCATTTACAATAGCATGAAAAAGATGAAAATACTTAGGAATAAATTTAAAGAGGCACAAGACTTGCACACTAAAAATTAGAAAACAATGCCAAAAGAAATTAAAGATCTAAATTAGTGGCATCCCATGTTCATGGATTGGAAAACTTAATACAATAACAATACTCCCCAAACTCAATGCAATCCCTATCAAAATCCTAACAATCTTTTTTGCAGAAATGGAAAAGCCTATCCTAAAATTCACACAGAATTAAAAGGGATCTCAAATCTTGAAAAAATTGTTAGAGGACTCACACTTCTTAATTTTGAAAAGTTATTATAAAGCAACTTTAATCAAAACAGTGTGGTACTGGCATAAAGACAGAAATACAGACTGATGGAACAGAATTGAAAGTCCAGAAATAAACCTTCACATCTATGGTCAACTGATTTTTGACAAGGGTGTCAAGACCATTCAATGAGGAAAGAATAGTCTCTTCAAAAAATGGTGCTAGGTGGGGGCTGGCCCCGTGGCCGAGTGGTTACGTTCGCGCGCTCCGCTGCAGGCGGCCCAGTGTTTCGTCGGTTCGAATCCTGGGCACGGACATGGCACTGCTCGTCAGACCACGCTGAGGCAGCGTCCCACATGCCACAGCTAGAGGAACCCACAACGAAGAATACACAACTATGTACCGGGGGGCTTTGGGGAGAAAAAGGAAAAAATAAAATCTTTAAAAAAAAAAAAAAAAAATGGTGCTAGGACAACTTGATATCTACATGCAAATGAACGAGGTTGGATTCCTACCTCACACCATATACAAAAATTAACTCAAGATGATCAATGATCTAACTGTAAGAGCTAAAACTACAAAACTCTGAAAAAAACATCAGGGTAAATCTTTATGACCTTAGTTTTGGCAATGGATTGTTAGATATGACAGCAAAAGCCCAAGCAACACAAGAAAAAAACACATAAATTGGACATTATCAAAATTAAAAACTTTTGTGCATCAGATACTAGCAAGAAAGAGAAAAGAGAATTTATAGAAAGAGAAGAATATTTGCAAACTATGTATTTGATAAAGCTCGAATATCCAGAACATATAACATGTCAAGCTGCCAGATGTCAAGGTGGCGGATAAGGACTACAAGCCAAACCGAAAGCAACAGTCAAGACTTCATTCATTTACTGTGACACTGCAGCAAGAGGCAACATGAAAGGTTCCAGTTCCCTGCTCCATTTTTCCCCATGGACTGGAACCAGACAAGGGTCATATGACACATAGTGCAGATAGGGGACATCATCTCACTGCCCAGGAGCCCTGAACTAAGGCTCCTGCCTCTTCATGGACCCAGGGGGCCGGGTGTCTTAGTCCACTCAAGCTGCTATAACAAACTAGCACAGAATGGGTGGCCTATAAACAACAGAAATTTCTCACAGTTCTTTAGGCTCAGAAGTCCAAGATCAAGGTGCCAGCATGGTCACATTCTGGTGAAGGCCCTCTTTTATAATAGTATTAATCCCATTCATAGGGCTCCACCCTCATGACCTAATCACTGCCTAAAGGCCCCACCGTCTAAGACCATCACACTGGGCAATAGGGTTTCAACATATGAATTTTGGGGGGATGCAAACATTCAGACCACAGCAAAGGAGAACAGCTAGGAATAGAAAAGTATTGAGTCAAAGTGGAGAATAATACCTCAGCCAAGACCTCCAAAAAGAGGTCTCAGCAGAGGTGGCTGGGAGGTGCCTCAGCTGAAGCCCCCAGTAAGGAGGCCTCCCAATGGAGTTACCTGGGCTAGGAATGCGATACACATGTGAGCATGGCTGTCCAGGGGCAGGGGGACTGAGCATTGCCTAAAACTCCCTACAGAAGACTACAACACACTGTGTACCGAATCTGGTGTGTGGAAGGCAGCTTCCCCCACTGGAGCCTCCAGATAAAGCCTTAGGACTGCCTATGGGCAGGTCTGAAAGATGACAAATAGGATTTGGGCCTAGAGCCAAATTCCTCGTAAAGAACTCTCATAATTCAACAACAGAAAGAAAAACAACCCAATTAAAAATGGGCAAAAGACTTGAATAGACAGTTCTCCAAAGAAGGCAAATGAATGGCTAACAAGCACATGAAAAGTTCAACATCATTAGTAATTAGGGGAAGACGAATCAAAATTACAATGGGATAAAATTGTACACTCATTAGGATAGCTATAATCCAAAGAATGGAAAATAACAAATGTCACAGAGGATGTGGAGAAACTGGAACCCT